CATGAGACAAAAATAAAAACTATGATCACACATTTTTCTGTACATTTCATGCAAGCTGGGCACAATGTGAAAATAACATGTATAAAGCACCCTTCCCAGGGTCAAACTCTCACAGAAATGGCTGATTAATATGCAGAAAAGCCTGCATGAATCAAAGGTCCATGGCAAACCACAAAATCAAGGAACAATGGCGACCTTATTTTTCTTGTAACAATGCAGGAATGTTGATGTTCCACCCAATGGCTTGCCTATCAAACCCACACGTAAACAGGTTGCATACGGGGTGATCTTCGCTCCACGCTGAGCAGCACACCATTCTTCTGTGGCCCTGTCAATGATCAAACAAACCGAAATGAGGGCATTATTCTGGAATTAAGATTTACAAAACTTCAGCGAAATTAACAATACCACTCAAAACTAGTAAAATAAAAGGGGGAAACACACACACATTGGAATTCCAAGTAAACCAAAAATACTGAGCATAGCAATAGGATTTTAGTGATGTCCCAGTCAAGCCACATGATGTGTGCTATCAGGACACAGTACAAATGAATGGTGACTCACACTCTGTGAATCTTTCTTTAGGAAAATATAGAGTAAAATACAAAAATAACTCATTAATTTGAAAATTTTAAACAAATAAATGAGAAGAGAAAATATTATAATTTAAATGAAATTTACTCAAAGACCTCAAATACTGTTACACAACTAATTGGCTAGTAATAAAGGAGCTGGAAAATACACATGTCACACCAAGCAAAAGGCCTTTCAGAAATATTCCTGGCATCTTCAGGAATTCTAATTAGGTATCATAATGCTGGGGACATTACCGTGAAGTATTTGACAAAGCTTGCAGTGTGACATATTAGTGTTTTGATTTATAGATACAAGAACTTAAGATAATGCCCAGTACTTAGAATGTCTATACATGATACCTTAGGAATTACCTGTATTTTTTAAAGTTAATAAAATGGCTAATATGTAGTCATATCACACAATAAAACACAAAAATTACTATTAACTAACACTGACAGGTTCATTAAGCAAAAAAAAAAAAACAACATTCAAAGAATGGCACAAAAGTCACATATAAGTAATGTTGTTTATATATATGGGGAGAGAACTGTGATAGGGCACAAAAATAAAGTAATTAAAAAAGACCACACAGAAAAATATCTTCTATTACTTCTTGGGAGAAAGAACAAGTCAAATCTTTGCACAAAAAAAAAAAATTAAAGATAACTGAAAGCTACGTATGGTAGCACATGCCTATAATCCCAATTATTTAGGAGAGTGAGGTAGGAGGACTTCCAAGCTCAAGGCTGGCTGGGGCAATTTAGCAAAACCAACTCAAGAAAAGGGGAGTTGGGGATCCAAGCTCAGTAGTAGAACCCTTGCCTAGCATCAGTTCAATCTCCAGCACTGAAAAAAAAAATAAAAATGAAAACAAATGTGAGGTGTCTGTGTACTTGACAACAGGGAAAAAGGACCATAAAGCCAGGAGCCACAGAAAGCTTTCAGCTACACCCCATGGTTTGACAAGCTGGCACTTGCCAGGGGAAGTTGGAGACTTTTATACCTCACATGCTTACAGCATCATTACTCACCCAGAAAAGGATGCACAAGCAAACACACTGTAAAGATACTTCTTGATCTCTGCAGACAGTAACAACATACACTCTGGACACACGCAGTACAAGACGATACTGTTTACTCACCTACAAGGCTAATACACAATCAACTGCACTTCAGTACCCTCCTACTCTGGAACATACTGTTGGGAAATGCTGCTTACACTACTCTCAAAGTCAGGGGCCTGCCCCTTAGCTCAGTTCTTTAAGTGGCTGCTTCAACAAAGCAGTCAGGCTCAGGTTGTTGTGGTACCATCCCCACAATTCAAGCCAGCCAAACCTGCCCTGAAGGCATTCGGAGGCAGCCAAAAAAAAAAAAAAAAAATCCTACTACTCTCAAAGTCAAACAACTGTAAATTATTAGTCCTTTCTATTGTACTTCTTAAATGTTCCAATTTTTTTTCTCTTTTTAAAATAGGTAGTTACAAAGTAAGTCAGTGATTCCTAATTGTGGTTCTGAGACAAAGGAACCACATGTACTTACCTGAAGAAATGTTATAAGTTCAAAATAAAGTTGAATGATATTTGTTAATCTTAGAAACAAATCTATTTTATATATCACTTTAGGAGGGAATAAGAACAAGCACAAAGAATTCTACAATTCCAGTAAAACTGAATGTTTACAGGTAATTTAAAATTAAATTGTCTATATGGATTTAAAGAACTAAATTATTCAGAAATCTTCTCTTTTTTGTTTTTTAAGAACTCCTAACTTTCTTGAAGGAAAATATTTTCAAAGTAATGAAGCCATACCCTCATAAATTTGTTTCAAATGTAAACTTTGTACAAAGCAATCTTAAAACACACACAGAGCCCATTTAAAAGAGAACACACTACTGCGTTAAGACGCTGCTTAGGTGATGCGATAACTGGCAGTTAACAAAACATTTTTTTAAAAAAAGTCTTCACTATGCAATTCATGAATTTGCTAGAAGTTGCAAAGGTTTTTAAATATTTACTCCAATTTTATGAGGAACTGATAAAAACAATAATTAACTTCAAACACTACACTTCAGAGCTATAAAAAGAAATAGCTGACACACCTCTACATAAGAATATAGATGCTTTTCAGAAACTGCCCGGCACATACAGGAAAGGTGTTGCTATTCTGGTGGCAAATTCCACTTCATAATCTATCTTCATAACTGCTCTTAGTCTATAGTTTTGAAGTGCACATCCAGCTTATAGCTCATAAACTGTACTCTGAGGCTTTATGCCATTAAACAATACTATTATTAACAACGATGGATATCATAAGAGTAGACACAAGGCAGCAACCAATCCTGGTGAATGTTGTGCTAGATGTCTGGCAATGTCCAGAGGCATATGTGCTTGCACAAACAGGGAAGTGGACTAAAGTGTCACTCATTAACAGATGAATGGAATGGATTAACAGAATCAACTGGCTTACTCACCACAAAGATATCACAAAAATATTCAAAAGATATCAAATAAAAACAGAATGAAAATGATTGGCTGTGGGACTCAAATACAAACACCAAAAGAAATGCTGCTTTGACAAAGTATTCCCATTACCTGCTGATAGAAATAAGCTACTAACTAACATCTATGCTAAAGACCCTGGCTCCAACTTCAAAAACACAGAATGGCCTAGGGAATCACCTATATGCAGGCTACTAGTGTCTTCACAGAAGACTCTGACTTGGATAGGCTGATATATCCAAAAGTCTCAACCACACAGGAAAACATCCAGCTAACTCCCCTACAGCACATCTAAAGTTAACAGAGAACAATCCCTTCATTTATATAAAAGTAACTTTTAAAGCATAATTTCTTCTCATAATTTCTTCATCTACAATTTATAAAGGTGTTTTTTTGGTCGGAAGTAAAGGCAAGGATCCCACCTTCAAGAGCTCCCACTCCCACTATGATGAACACTGCTCCTGCCTGAATACAGCAGTTATGTGTTATTTTATACAGCCCCACCCTGCATAAGCTTACCTGAAAAAAATCTATAAATGTCAGCAGCTAACACATGTGCTAAGCTCAAATCATGCCTAAAGAAGCTGGGGAAATGAACATTTGATCATATCAAATTTTACACTCAAATACTGATACTCAGGGTATTGAAATTCTAGTCTGGAACAAGTTGAACAAGTTGACTCTATTTTTTCAACTTTAAATTTTACAAACTCGAAGAATAAATCAAGTATTTCCAAAGAAAATTTAGTACCTAAAAACTTGTAAGGAGGCATGAATGTAAAATATTTCTAACATTTTTACACCAATTACATGTTTAAATAAAATATATGTTAAAATTGATTTCTCTCATTTCTCTTTTTAAATGTAGTTACTAGAAAACTAAAAATCACACAAGTGATTTGTGCTAGACAGAAATAATTTAAGGTATGAAATGCCAAGTTCTTCTCTACATGTTTTGTGTGTATGTATTACCTGTCGACTGCTCCGAGGAAGCCGTGCTAGTCGCACTCCTGACATATCAAACAATCGCACTTGTCGGTTGTCATGGGGAAGAGCTATGATTTTT